CCCCTGCAGAGCAGACCCCCTCCCCTGCCCTCTCCCCTGCAGTCCCCGCCATTGCCGAGCGGACCCCCCCTGCAGAGCAGACCCTCCCCCTGCCATCATGAGCATTGTCATCACCATCATCGCCGTCATCGTCACCCTCGTCATAACCATCGTCGTCGTCATCGTCTTCGTCATCATCATCTTCATCATCATCCTGATCATCATCTTGCAGAGCGCCCCGGATCGGCGGCACTGGCCAGAGGCCACTACAATAGATGTCGTCGCCCGACGTCCTGAGGGTTGTACAGGATGTAGGCAACCACCCCTCGCAGGAGTGAGGGCCAACGGCAGGGGGGAACGACAGGGGGAAGCTGGCTCGAGGCAACGAGGCCAGAGGCGTGAGGTTTTCGCACGTTTTCGCTGGTGATCGGTGACGTTCCAACCTCGGGATGCCTTCCAGCGGCTGCGCCTCACCGAGACTGTGCCCGGGGTGCCCAGACCGTCCATCCAGAACGGCCGCGGGAGGCCCGAGTTGGGGCACGAAAACCACAAGGGACCGGCTCGGGAGGGAAACCATCGGCCTGGAATCGGCGATACATCGCCGATGGGTCGGCGATAGGCCACCGACAGCGCATCCGCACGTTCCTGGCTGGATGGGGCCATCGGGACCCCATCGGCGGTCAATGGGCGATTCGGGGTCGCTGCTGCGTCTATCCCCCTCTGACCCTGTCCCCGAAGGAGGACGCGTCGGGTCGGGGGGGAAGGAGGAGGAGGAGGAGAAGGAGGAGGAGGAGGAGGAGGAAGCAGCGCCTCCCCGCGCAGGAGGTGCCAGTGTATCGAGGGAGGCGCATGGCGGCGGGGCCGAGTCCTCTTGCATATCCCCCTTCTCGAGCGACCCGAGCCGGAGAGGGGGACCAGGAAGAGGGCGGTCAGCGAAGCATGGCCCGATGCATGTGCGTGGGCCGAGGGGGGGACCAGGGAGCGTGCTGAAAGAAGAGGTGGGGCCATGAAATATGGGAGATGTCTCACGGCCCCGTCCAGGATGTCCACCCACCAACCCTACTCCCTTCTCCGACGCCGCCCAAGGCGGGGACTGGCCAAAGGCAGGTGACCATAGACCTGGAATCGGCGACATGTCGCCGATACAGCGGCGACCGGCCCGCGATACTAGGGCGACGAACTCTATACACGTATCCACTGCTCCCTGGCCAGGCCCATCTTGAACCCAGCAGCGGTGTATGCGCCACGCCCTCTTGGCTTGGCCAGGAGGGCGCATACACAGCTCCTGGGCTCAGGATGGGCCTGGCCAGGGGGCAGTGGGTGTGTATGGAAGATCTCGTCACCCGACGTCCTGAGGGTTGTACAGGATGGGCTCAGGATGGGCCGAGGATGGGCCTGGCCAGGGAGCAGTGGCTGGGCATAGATCTCTTCGCCCGGGATGCTGGAGCTGCACGATCCTGGGCAGGGCGGGGCTCCCAGGCCCCGAGCAGGCTCCCCCCCGACGCTGCCCCCGAGGAAAAGACACGCCTGCGCCGATCCCCGCCGGGCCGACCCTGGGCCGGGGAGGGGTGCACGCCTCCCCCCCCGCTCCGAGCGACGGCCAGGGAGGGCCAGGGCGGGGCCGCAGGCGACGCAGCGCTTCTGGGGACGCCACCTCCTCCTCCTCCTCCTCCTCCTCCTCCTCCTCCTCCTCCTCCTCCTCCTCCTCCTTATCTACTACCTCCTTCCCCTCCTTACCGCCACCGCTCACCTCCCCCCCTCCCCCACCTCCTCCCTCTCTCCTCCTCCTCCTCCTCCTCCTCCTCCTCCTCCTCCTCCTCCTCCTCCTCCTCCTCCTCCTCCTCCTCCTCCTCCTCCTCCTCCTCCTCCTCCTGCGGAGGGCAGAGGCAAGGGATGGGAGGAGGGGGAGGGAGGAGGAGGGAGAGGAGGAAGCAGGAGACGCGGGGCGCTGTGGCTTCAAAACGAGGACCCGACACCACAGGAGGGTTGGGAACAAGACGAAGGCTTATCGCCGCTCGCGGCCGCCAGGGGCCGTTTTCCGACCGCGGGGACCGTCAAACAGCGGCCCGGGATGGAGCACTGGCCCTGCGGAAGGGGCTGGGACTTCCACCAGGGACCCCGCGTTGGAAAGATCGGAGCATCGGATGTCTGGGCTGGCCGAGGTCCAGAGGGCCCCCAGGGGCTCCAAAACGCTGCGGAAAGCTGGGCGCAGCCTGGACCAGCCAAGGTCACTTCCCCTGTCCTTTCTTGTCCGCAGCGCGGGCGAGCGCGAACGCGTTCGGATAGCCAGCGGGCCATGCCAGAACTATGGGCACACAAGTGTGACCAGGGCAAGAGGAGGGCGGCCGTGGAGGAGGAACGCGAGCGGAGACCTCCGACGATATGATTTCTTCTATCCGCGGCCCCAGCGCTCCCGACCGCTCCCCCGGGGGCAGCATTTCAGAGCGAATGCATGTTTGAGGGTCCCGCGGAACTCGAAAACGGCCCCCAGAGGCCGAAACTCAAAAAACGCCGCGACCGACAAAAAGATCAACCCGCCGAACGTCGGGGCCTGGCAACCTCCGAGCCTGAAGGCTTGAACAAACTGGTCCCCAGCCCTGGGGTAGGCCCTGGCCAGGACTGGTGCCGGCGCACCGCTTGCGTCCGACCGGCCTTGCAGCGCCTCCATCTGGGACCGCAGCGTCCCAACCCTATGCCTCGCGCCGACCGTCGTCTGGCGTCAGTCGCCGCCACGCCGCGGCCGCCGCCATCGTCGCCTGGCGTCCGCCGCCGCAGCAGCCACCACCAGGGCCTCCGTCGTCGCCCCACGTTTGCCCCCTCAGCGGCCGCCGCCCTGGTCGCCGTCGTCGTCGTCCGCCGCCGCCGCCGCAGCGGCCGCCGCCCTGACAGCCGCAGCCGCCGTCGTCGCCTTCGTCTTCGCCGCCCTCACACGTCCCGTGCCTCGACTTTGTCGAGGCGTGGGCCCGTGGACCTCTCGACCCGTTTTCCCCCCCCCCGGGCCGGCTCCTCGCCCCGAGTCATTTGCAGACGGCCCCGAGGCCCAAGAACCGGCCTCGGAAAGCCACCAACGCTGAGATCCGACGTCACGAAAAAAATGCTGCAACATCGCGAAACAACAAACATGTTTGATTCGCGGGTCGAGAGCGCACCTCGTCCGGTCGAAGCTAAGCGGGCCGCGCGAAGCTTGAATTAACAAAGAGGGGGAGGAAAGCAGAAAACACCAAATCCCTAGACCCCGAAGTATCGCTGTGCGGCACTTCTCGATCCAGATCCGCCTGTGAGAGCCCCCAGGGCCATGGCGACAGGCCGGCCGCCTCGACTTCTGTTCGAGGCGGGCGGATGTGTGGGTCCGCTGCGCCGGCCTGACGCCGATGAGGTGCGCCAGCTCGTCACCACCCGTCTGCTGCTGGATCGCGGCCTCCAGCTGCTGGTCGAGGGATAGCAGCTTCACGTCCAGCCGCGCGAGGGACTGCGCGCGGCGTCAACGGAGCCCCATACGCCAGCACTTCACTACGAACTCTTACACACGAAGCAAGCATCTCACATGACCCATCGTCCGAGGAGCCACTCTACGCCCACGCAACGTTGGCAATGCCAACTTTGTGCTAATTGGCCAGTAAGCCTCGAATGTGCAGGGCCATTTGGGCACTGGTCCGTCAACATGGCGGCTCCAAACGGAGCGAGACATGCAAGATAGGTGTGGTCACATATCTGAAGGCCCGTTTCAAGACGCCTTAGCGCGAGTCGACGCACGCTCATCATGCCTCAGCTCATTACACGCTCATGTTGCTACATAAAAATGCAATCTCAAGGTCACAGCATACTTCATCACGAATCAACGAGTAAGCGAGAGCGCCATCAAGACGTCGATAATGTCTAACTGTGATGGTCTTGTCTGGTACAGGAACGAAGACTTTGGAGAGGGCTGGGCGTTTACATCCCAGACTGGCGTACGTATGCACAGATGCTTGCGATGCAAGCTGAAAGCCAAAAACAAAAGCCGCCGACGATTCGCACGCCAGCGCACGCCTCCACAGAGGGCCCGTGGGACATGCAGTCCTCGATGGCCATGATGGCCTGCTCCTGCAAGGCTTCGACGCACGCGTACGCACGCTTGAGCACGCACTGGCACTAGAGAGCCACCAAAAGAAGAAGAAGAAGAAGAAGAAGAAGAAGAAAACTGCACAAGCATAAACTTGCTGGCGCTCCGCGCGAATTTCTTGGATCTGCGCTGGGCCCCCCTCCCTGGCGCGCGGAGCGCGCCAAGGGCGGCGCCAGAGGCGCCGCCAGGGGGGTCAAGAAATCCGCGCTGAGCGCCAAAAAATGCATGGTCATGGTCTTCTCTCTTCTTCAAGCCAAGCCGTATAGGCATGCATTTCCGGACGTCCGCGCGGATCTCTCGGGCCCGCGCTAGACCCCACTCCCAAACCCACGGCGGCGCCTCGAGGCAGTGTCGGAGGGGGGCCCAGCACCGATCCAAGAAGTCCGCGCGGACCGCCCGAGAACTCGTGTGCGCGTCGCTGTTTTTGGCCCCCCCTGGGGCCACGCGGGCCGCTGTCGAGAATCTCTGGGCGGGCGGCGGCGTGAAGTCCCAGGAAGCAGGTAGAGGCCTCCCCGATGGGGTCCGAGCAAATGGGGTCGGAGGATCTCGCCGCATCGCCGATGCATCGCCGATGCATCGCCGATGCATCGGCGACGCATCGGGTCGGCGTGGGGAAACACGGTCTCCACATCAAGCTTCATCGTCGGTGCATCGGCGATGCGGCGCTATCCTCCGACCACATCTACTCGGACCCCATCTAAGCGGCCTACAGTCGGGAATCTCTGGGCGGGCGGCGGTGTGAAGTCCCGGGAAGTCCTCCTCCTCCTCCTCCTCCTCCTCCTCCTCCTCCTCCTCTTCCTCCTCCTCCTCCTCCTCCTCCTCCGCCGCCAGTGCCGTTTGGCCGTCTGCGGCCGCGCACGCCTGCCAGAGGAGGGGGCCCCGACGACATCTGGGCCCTCGCAGGCCCTGACAAACCAAAAGGCAGATTTGTTCGCCGTTGTTGTTGTTCCGTTGTTATTACATTTCTGGCGCCGTGTTTGTTGACGTTTCTGGCGCTGTTGCTTTACCATTGTCCCTTTTCCTGGTGGGGGCCTGGTCCAGGTCACCGCCTTTTACAAGATCCAGACCGCTTTCGAAACGGTCCCGAACGTCCTTCGGATCCCCGGACTGCCCAGGCCATTTCCTTGAAATGGCTCGTCTCGCCGCTTCCAGTGTCAAGGGGCAGTCTTCCGAAAACGGCTCCAAAACCCCGATACCGTTCCCAGGCCCACTGAGACCCAGACATCTGGGCGTCGCGGAAGCATCTTCTGTTCAGAAGACCTGCCCGCGGCCGCGCACCCGGCCCGAGGCGGCAGGCGCACGCCAGCACCTTGCAGTCGACGCGCTGCCAGAGGGAGCGCGGAGCAGGGAACGGAGGGGCCTGTCTGGCCACGGCGAGTCTCGGCAGCGAATCGACTCCACGACCCAAGTCTGGGACAAGGCCCGCAAACCAGGGCCCCTCCTCCTCCTCCTCCTCCTCCTCCTCCTCCTCCTCCTCCTCCTCCTCCTCCTCCTTCTGAGCCTCCTGAGCCTCCTGAGCCTCCTCCTCCTCCTCCTGAGCCTCCTCCTCTTCCTCGTCCCTCCTCCTCCTGAGCCTCCTCCTCTTCCTCGTCCTCCACCTCGTCCTCCTCCTCCTCGTCCTCGTCCTCCTCCTCCTCCTCCTGAGCCCAAAGCGGACCTGATTTCAGCGCCTTGGCTGCGGGCCCGATGCAAGCGAAAGGGGAGGCAGAGGGGCGGCCGCAAGCAAAGAGAGGGGGCTGCGAAAAAACCTGTTATGCTGGCGGTCACTTGGATCCCTCCTCTCCTCCCCTCCTCCTCCTCCTCCTCCCTCCTCCTCCTCCTCCTCCTCCTCCTCCTTCCTCCTCCTCTCCTCCTCCTCTCCTCCTCCTCCACCTTATCCACCTCCTCCTCCTCCTCCTCCTCCTCCTCCTCCTCCTCCTCCTCCTCCTCCTCCTCCTCCAGCAGCGGCAGAGCAACGGTCGCAACGAAGCAAGTTCGAACACAAACCTGGCTGAAAGAAGAACACCACGGCCGTCGCTTCGCATTTCCATCGCTCCGGAACCGAGGGCAGAGCCCCCAGGGCCGCCAGACGGCTCGCGGCGAGAGGCCGCAACCCTGCCGCGACATGAAGGCCAAGACGCTGAGCGGCGCAGCCACCGCTGAGATCGAGCTACAACTGCAAGCGCGTCCGCTGCCGTTGTCACTGTCAGAAACTCTTGCATAGCGCGTCGCGGCGGCGGCCCCGGCGACACGCGATGCCCTGCGAGCGGATAGCGTGTCGCTCCGCTCCAGGAGGCGGGAGGCTCGGAGAAGCTCGGGACGCTGACGCTGGGGGACTGGAAGAAGTGGATAGCGTGTCGCACCGAAGCGACGTGGGCCTGAACCAGCGGAGCGACACGCTAAGCCAATGTTCATGACTGTAGGGCCACCTGCGGGCCAGGTGCAGTCTGCTGGATCCGCGACCTCTTCGCCGCACGCAGTGCAGTGCGCTGCCCCGCGGCCCGACGCGTTACCTGATGGGGTCGAGGCTCTGGAGGCCCACGTAGTGAGAACGATCGCGACGACGATGGACAGACGAACAGACGGACGACGGACTCAGGACGACAGACGACGACGACGACGACGACGACGACGACGACGACGACGACGACGACGACGACGAGGACGACGCCGACAACGACGACGACGGCGGCGGCGGACGGCGACGACGACGACGACGACGGCGGCAACGGACGGCGAGGACTGCGGCGACGACGACAACGACGACGAAGACGACGACGACGGCGACGACGACGACGACCACGAAGACGACGGACGAAGACCACGACGACGACGACGACGACGACGACGACGACGACGACGACGACGACGACGACGACGACGACGACGACGGCGGCGGCGGCGGCGACGACGACAACGGCGGCGACGACGACTGAGGTCTGGCTGACGGGGGAGCGCTGGCGTCCTCAAACGCGGGCGGCGCGGTGGCGGTCACCTGCACGCGCGCGCGGAGGCCTCGATCTCTTGAGGATCAAGCCCCTCCCCTTGCGACGGGAAGCAGTGTGCCATCGCCGTGGCTCGCCTCCTCCGTCTCCTACAGTTAAAACTAGTAGCAAGATGCGCGATGAGGAATCAAAGGCATACGCCCATGCCAAAGCTTTTCGAGCGGGGCTGGCCGTCGACAGTGGTTGAGGGTGGACCGAAGATGACCGACAAGGCATGGGTGCAAGGGTACCTACCCTTGGGAAGTCGATCCTCCTTACGATCAATGCTGACTGGAATCGTCCCTGATCCTCGGTCCTGTGGGGGAAGATTCTGGGCAGGCTGCGTACTTGTCGCCATGGCGGGATTCGGTGGTGCGTCGCCTCTGGCTGGCTTTTCTGCCGCCCCGCTCCGAGGCGGGATACCAAATATCAACATTCGCCCCCGAGGAGGTCGCGCGACTTCCCTGCGGGCTCAAGAGCTTGGCTGAGGTGGCGCAGCGTTGCTCCAGCGAGGGCCCGCAGGGATTCCCACCAGGCTTCTGCTCGTCCCACGGTGGCTCGGATGGCGCCAAATGGCGCCCTGTGGTGCTCCAGGCGGGCGCCTCGTCTGCGATCCGACGGTCTGCGCTGGTGCTGCCAGCTTCACCGGCCCTCCCTCCCAGGTCGGTCTGGTGCGTCGGCCGGTTGGGGTCTCGAGGTCCCCCTAGGGTTTCTCGAGCGCTCCGTGCTGGCCGCACCAATTGCGTTGCCCAACGGTCCGTGCGGACGTACTGGACAACCCCAGGGGGAGGTAGCCCACTAGGAATATTCGAAGAACAAACAACGGCATAAACAACAACAACAACAACAACAACAACAACAACAACAACAACAACAACAACAAGGCAGGGACGGGTCTCTGGCACCCTGGGGGCAGGGTACCAGATCCCCGGCCTCCACTGCTGGCGAGGACAGGCTACTGGTATCCTGCCCCCCAGTTGCGAGGGAGGGTCGCAACCGCAACCGCGCAACCAGCACCATCACAAGCTAATGGAAATGAAGCAGGAAGGGTTTCCAATTGAATTCTCAGCAGAACATGAATGTGCGCACCAGCGAAGCGAGCTCCTACAGCAAACTGTTTCGAATTATACGATCCAGTTCTAACAGACTCATGGGTCCAGCTCTACAAGAATGCTACTAGAGCTGGGTCCAGCTCAAATAAAACCCTACTAGAGCTGAGTCCACCTCGAACAGAATGCTACTAGAGCTGGGTTCACCTCTAATGGAACCCTACTAGAGCTGGGCCCAGCTGTAAGAGATGCCTACTAGAGCTGGGTCCAGCTCTACTAGAATCCTACTAGAGCTGGGCCCAGCTCAAATAGAAGCCCACTAGAGCTGGGTCCAGCTCTCATAGAATCCTACTAAAGCTGGGTCCAGCTCGAATAGTGTCCGACTAGAGCTGGGTCCAACTCTACTCGAATCCTACTAGATCTGGGTCCATAATAGAATCCTAGTAGAGCCGGGTCCAGCTATAACAGAATCCTACTAGAGCGGGATCCAGCTCTCATAGAATCCTCCTGGAGCTATGTCCAGCTCTAACAGAATCCTACTAGAGCTGGGTCCAGCTCTAACAGAATCCTACTAGATCTGGGTCCAGCTCTCATAGAATTGTACTAGAGCTGGGTCCAGTCATGAAATTATACTAAAGCTGGGTCATCGTCATCAGCATCATCATCGGCACCATCTATCAACATCATCATCATCATCATCATCATCATCATCATCATCATCATCATCATCATCATCGTCATCATCATCATCCTCATCATCATCATCATCATCATCATCATCATCATCATCATCATCATCATCGTCATCGTCATCGTCATCGTCATCGTCATCGTCGTCGTCATCATCAGATTCATCATCATATTATTATTCACCATCATCATCATGTTCATCATCATCATCCTCATCATCCTCGTCATCATCATCATGATCATCATAATCATCATCATCACGACCGCCATCATCATCATCATCATCATCATCATCATCATCATCATCATCATCATCGTCAGCATCATCATCATCATCATCATCATCATCATCATCATCATCATCATCATCATCATCATCATCATCATCATCATCATCATCAGAATCGTCATCGTCACAATCATCATCAGGATCATCGTCGGTGGGGGATCGGGGGCGCGCAAACATGGATTAGCGATCCATGGATCTGGCGCGCGGTCGCCAAACCTATGGATCGGTCGAGGTGCCCTCCCCAAAATGCGGCCAGTGCCGCCTCACTCGGCGGCGGAAATCCGCGATTTCCCGTGGAAACGGGACCCGTCGCTAATCCACGCCACCTGAATCCACGCTGGCGATCGCCTGATCCTGGAGGCCGGAGCCGGAGGCCTCCCCTCCCAAAGGGGCCCCCCGGAGGCCCGTTCAGAGGCCTCTCGGGAGGCCCTCTGGGAGGCCCTGCGGCCTGCGGGAGCCCGGCCTCGGCTCGAGTGCAATGGGGTGGACCCAGGTCTCCGACGATACGGCCGGACCCAGGGCAGAAGAACATCCTGTAACACGAGACCCTCCGCTGGCAAGAACACCCCAGACCATGAGATCACTCGAGGGTACTCTACACAGAAAGCATCTATACACCACCACCACCACCGTGCCAGGCCAGGGCCATCCTAGACCCTAGGATGGTGTATACGCCCTCCTGGCCGAGCCAGGAGGGTCTATACACCATCCTACGGCCCAGGATGGCCCTGGCCCACGGTGGTGGTGTATAGATGCCTTCGTCGGATACTCTCCCCCCAGATGCACCAGAACATCCAAGAACGTCCCTTGATCCATGCTTGCGATCGACGGAGGGGGGCGCCCCGCAAGCCGCCCCGCGGGGCGGCCTCGGACGGCACGGCTCCGCCCTCGTTGGTGTTGTGGAGGTGGGTGGCCACCCGCGGCCCCTGCGGGCGCCTCGGGAGCGGCGCCCCGCGGGGCCGGCGGGGGCAGGCGAGCAGGGCATCGAGGAGGAGGGAGGAGGGAGGAGGGAGGAGGGAGGAGGGAGGAGTGAGGGAGGAGGGGAGGAGGAGGAGGAGGGAGGAGGGAGGTGGAGGGGGGGGAGGGAGAGGAGGAGGAGGAGGAGGAGAGGAGGAGGAGGAGGAGGAGGAGGAGGAGGAGGAGGAGGAGGAGGAGGAGGAGGAGAGGAGGAGGAGGAGGAGGAGGAGGAGGAGGAGGAGGAGGAGGAGGAGGAGGAGGGAGGGAGGAGGGAGGGAGGGAGGGAGGGAGGGAGGGAGGGAGGGAGGGAGGGAGGGAGGGAGGGAGGGAGAGAGGAGAGAGGGGGGAGGAGGCAGGAGGGAGGAGGGAGGAGGGAGGAGGGAGGACGAGGAGGAGGAGGAGGAGGAGGAATCCCAGGATCGAGGGCTTGAGAGCCTGTTCTCACTCGAGGAGGGGGCGGGGGGCTCCTCGTCGCCAGTGGATCACCTGCCCGCCATGGATCGCGAGCGGCGGACATGTCCGTACGGCAGGCTCGCGTCGTGCTGGCTTCGGCGTCGGTTCCTGACTCCGCTGGGATCGTTCCACCTTGAACGATATCAGATCGTTCAAGATCGACCGATTCTGGTTCGTCGCCGGCGGCGTTCAACCTTAAACGCCCGCGCTAGGGTCGCCACTGGTCGACGCGACGCGAACCTACCGTACCCGAGGTCCACCTGCCCGCCGTGGATCACGAGCGGCGAGCATGCTCGCATCCGCGCCCTCGCGGTCTGGACTCTGGAGCGCGATCCCACGGACACGTGGTCCCAGAGATACATTCCGAGAGGGGGAATCCGCGAAGAAGCGCCCCCTATCCGCGGGGTCGCGGCCCAGGGGGCCTGGCCCACAAGACCGCGGATACGGGTATGCTTTTCGCCCACGTGTGGAGCGGGCCCCCGGGGCAGCGGGTGCCAAACGATGGTCGGGGGCTGTAGCAAGGGCGGCGCAGGCAGACGTACTAGCACCGTATGCCCCCCTGGAGGGGCACGTCCGACCGGAACTCATGGTACGTGCATATTGTAGCACGTTGGGACCCGAGCGGCATGACCAGACCACGCTCGCTACGATGCTTTCACCACAAGCTGCTTCCGTGTGCGCGTCGCCCACGCACACGTAGTACAAGCAGGTCTGAATCAGACCGACCCAAGGCAGGACCGGTCACCATCGAATCGCCAAACAAACTCGGATCGGAGCTTACATCTGATCGGGCTGCACTGGCACGGAATCGAACTGAATCAGATCGGCCGCGCCAGGATGCACAACCAAGTCGCGCAGGCATCGAGTCGCATCGGACCCCCCCCTAGAAATCGTGGGGTGTTGGGGTAGACTTCGCACGTTGCCTCCGATTATCAGTCTGCTCAGGGCCCCTGCCCCCTGACCTCGGAGCTCGGGGCCCCTGGCCCGAGAGGCCCGCTCACTTGCCCGGGCCAAGGGGGCCCGCCCCAGGGGAAGCGAGAGCGCACGGCCGAGGCCTGGCGCGAGAAGCAAGGCCTCAGATTCCGGCGCCCGACGGTGCTCCCAGGGCCTCCCCTGATTTGGACGCCCTCCTCCTCCTCATCCTCCTCCTCCTCCTCGTCCTCCTCCTCCTCCTCCTGCGAATGACCCAACCATATGCAGTTGTGAGTACCGTCGTTGTGAGTATCGCCTTCGGCACCGTGCGAATCCTGTCATTTGGGCTTTCACTGGAGCTCACAATGGAACCGCCAAGTGACCCTCGACATGTGAGCCTTAGCTGGAATGCCCTATGGGGCCACGAAACGTGTGAGGAGTGCGGCGACATGAAGCACCGTCGCCATGCGAACCCTTGTATTGGGCCTAAGCTGGAGCTCCCCATGGGGCCACGAAACGTGTGAGGAGTGTGCCGACATGAAGCACCGCCGCCATGCGGACCCTGCCACTGGAGCCTTTGGTTAAGCTCCCCATAGGGCCAGGTGGGAGGGGTGCGCTCGAATGAGGCAACGCCGCCAAGCGGACCCTGACATCGGAGACATTGGCTGGAGCTCCCTTTATGGGGCCACGAAACGTGTGCGGGGTGTGCCGAAATAAAGCACCGCCGCCATGCAGACCCTGGCATTTCGGCCTTTGCTGGAGCTCCCTGTGGATTCAAGACACGCGTGAGGGGTGCGCTCAAATGAGGCATCGCCGCCATGCGCACCGTGCCACTGGAGCATTGGTGGCGCCCCCTATGGGGCCACGAAACGTGTGAGGGGTGCGATGAAATGCGGCACCGCCGCCATGCAGACCCTGCCACTGAAGCCTTAGCTGGAGCTCCCTATGGAGCCACGACGGGCACGAGAGGTGCGCTCAAAGGATGCACCGCCGCCATGCGGATCCTGCCACTGGAGGCTTTGGTGAAGCTCCCCATCGGGCCACGAAGCGTGTGAGTGGTGTACCGAAGTGGGCATGCGCATGGGAGAGGTAGGGATGGGAGGACGAGGAGGAGGAGGAGGAGGAGGAGGAGGAGGAGGAGGAGGAGGAGGAGGAGCAGCAGCAGCAGCAGCAGCAGCAAGAGGAGGAGGAGGAGGAGGAGGAGGAGGAGGAGGAGGAAGAGGAGGAGGAGGAGGAGGAGGAGGGGGGAGCAGGGGGGGAGGGGGGGGGAGGAGGAAGGACGCGGGGCGCTGCTGATTCAAACGAGAACCCAACTCAGGACAGAATGGATCGGAAAAAATGGAAAGATGCCCAACACCAAAACCCACTGCGGCCGCTGCTGGGCAGGCGGCCTTCTGTGTCAAAAAGACAACGTCCACGGCGACGCCGACAGCGAATCCAAACGAATATGGACAAACATTGTTGTCGGTCTTCCTACCCATTCTTTACGTACGCATTTCGATCGTGCCGACCTGAGATCTTGGCGTTGCCATTATTTCACAACGGGCCTTGTCGCCGAATGTCGAGCTCCGGGGCCATCACAATTCGATCCGGCTCAAATAATGCAGCAGAAATATGAGCCTAGGGTTCCGGTCGTCATCCCTCGCGGTGCTGCATGCGTTTTCGTGGCGGAGGATCTCAGGGTCCCCTCGCGAAGAGAAACCATGTTGTTTTGGTCTGCGGGTCGAGAGCGAGCTTCTTCCGGTTAAAAGCTAGGCGGGCGACGCAAAGCCCTAATTGGGGAGACAGAGCACAGGCGGGCGGGGCTCAGGCGGCCGGAGGGCGGGCCGGGGTGCAGGCGGTGCCGAGGAGCTTGCACAGGAAAAGGAACGCCTTGGAGAGGAGCATACAAAGAGAACACCACAAGGGTTGGCGTTTGCCCGTCTTCGGTTTCCGAGGGCCATCCCCGCCAGGCCCAGGGGCGTCAAAAGGCGGCTCGGGGCGCCAGCCCGGCCCGGGGGAAACGGCTGGAACATCCGGGGAACCTGGGAACAAAAAAATGGAGGCAAAGAAAAGAAAGGCTGCGGGACGGAAAAGGAATCCTCAAATCGTGCACACCTTCAGGATCGTTTGGGAAACGACGACGGGGGCGCATAGACCAGGGGGGAGCAATAACTGTATCCAGGGGCGCCGATGATCCATGTCTTCGGCGAAGCTCCTGGGCGGATACGTGCAATGCCCGCCACTGGTCTATTCGCCCTTATCGTCGCCGCCGATGAACAGAACAGGGGATGCTGCCGGCGCTTGCGAAGGCGCCATGTCATGCGGACACCTTGACGGTCCCAGTTTTCCGACGATACGATTTGTTCAATCCTGGCGGTTGTGTTCGATTTCAGTTTCTGGAGCCCGTTTCCGGGCCTCGGGACGATGAAAAAAAAAAACACCTGGCCAGGACGGCAACATACCCCCAGGATGTAGCCGCGAAATCTGCCTGCGGCCGCGGTTTCAGCAGAACATATCGGAGGATGTCCGGGGTTCCACCCCTCGAACCTTTTCGACCATCGCCCGTCTCCGAATTGGCCGACTGCGCCCCAGCATGTCCTTCCCGACCCCGCAGAAGGGAGGGCCGCCGACGGGCGGGCACCCTGGCAGGACGCGGTGCCTCAAGGAAGGAGGCAGGACACAAGCCAGGCCGGAGCGGAAAAGCGAGCCTCGAGGGGCAACTCGCGTGAAATCTTCGTGGGAAGATTTAATGCATTCGAACCCGGTGAGAGCGCCATATAAAACATGATCAAGCCATATCGGGCGCAGGAGTGAGCTGGATCGCCGCCTGGCTTCTCAAGGTCAGGCGGCGTGCACCCGGGGAAAAGAGGTGGCGGGGACTGCCTGGGATTGCTCCGCTTTCTTCTTGTTCTTCAAGCGGCGCTCTGCCTCTTCCCTGGTTGACTCATCTTTCTCCTGAGCTTGATTGCTGGCCGCGACGACATCCTCCGCGCGCTGCTCAACGCGCAGCTCCAACCTCCTGGCCTTCGCCTCGACACGGCCCCCCACGTTCCGCGGCGCTCCCGTGAACATATCCGAACGCCTCTGGTGATCGACCCTGGCAGAGTCTTCGAACGCCTTCAATCTTCTGGAGGCGTCGTCCTCGGCCTTCTGCTCCGCCGCGCGTTCTGAGGCGCTCGCGACACAATCGAAGGACGCCTTGGACATTGGCGGTCAGTCGGAGGGCCCTGATCCAGGTGCAGTTCGGGAGGCAAAACATTCATCGAATTCCCTACTCGCTTCGCGTTCCTTCCGCTTCCACTTATCCGTCGCGCCTTCGCTCTGCCCCCCCGTCCTTCTTCGCCGACGCGTCACTGCAAACGACGCGTCTCGTTTCAATCGGCAGCACGAACATGGTTGCACCTGCTGACGAGCGTCGCTGACCTCACCCCGCGCCTGCCCCATCCCCGCTTCACTCTCGGCCGACGCCCTCTTCGCGACAGCTCCAGCGGTCGGTCGGTCTGCCCACCCCCGTCGAGCCGCCGTCTGCGCCTCCACCCCATGGACAGCGTTGCGCGCCTCAGCCGCCTTGAGCTCTTCGGCTACCCGAATCATCGTCACCTGATGGGTCTCTCTGGCCCCCGGACGACACGCCCAGCCTCCTCTGCGACGCTCTTTTTTCGAGGCCTTGAGCCCGCGTCTCAGCGGCTGCCGAGGCCTTGACCTTGCTAGCCAGTTCGCGGAGCTCGGCCGACGCTCGCATCGCCTGCTCCGAGGTGGCAACCTGCTGCCTTTCCTCGGCCTGCTCCACGGCACGGACCATTGCTATACGGTCGTTTTCGGCCTGGACACGAGCAGCAGAGCGCCGTTGAATTTCGGTCATCGTGATCTAGTCATCTAGTCTCTCATACGCGCCAGCTCCCGGCCCCTTTCTTCGGCCATTGCATCCCGCCTCCTCTCTTCGGCCAGGTCCCATTCGAGGCCACCCAACGTCGTGCAAGTGTGCGTGACAAGGGGCAAGCAGCCTGGGCAGAGGAACATCAAGCTGCAAAGGTTGCCACTGACCAAGCAATCGCGACAGACTGCCTCCTGCACTGTCCTCGACTTCCTGGGCAGCAGCGCTCGGGAAACGCCGCGCACTTGGGGCCTCCGTTGCCGCGCGACTCATCGATGCGAAGACTCGATGCGTTAGAACGCGCCGCGCGAGCGGAAAACGACGAAGGGCCCGACGGGGCCCTCGATGCCCTACGTCGGTCGAGCCCCGCGCCCCTGGCCCACGGACAACGGGCGCGAGGGATGGGGGTCCTCGTAGCCCTGAGATTCAAGTGTCCTGCACGCAGAGTCCTCTGAGTCTGCGGACTGACCGGCGGGGGGGGTGACCCAGAAGCACAACCCTTGGCGCCTCCCCCCGGGGTCGAGCATCTGAATATCCTGCGGCATGCCCTGCGTCTTGGTTCGCTTCACGAGCGGGGAGCTGACTAACAGGCTGATGGCTTCCCCGGGCTGCTTCGCTGCGGGTGCTCTCGACCCGGCTGCCTGCTCGGCGTTTTGCTGAGCGGCCGCAGGCAAGCCTGTCATCATCTCTGCCGTCTCGCCTTGCGGATCTTCCCACGAGGCTTCGGCGACACAGTCGTCGAAAGTTCTGGCGCCAGCGATGGTTCCTGAGCCAATATCGAAAACGATCCGAGATTACACGCCTCGAAACGCCCCCCGGATGAACTCAGCAGCCGTTTCTCGGTTCAGGTGGAGCGTCGACTTGACTGGCCCCCACTCTTCCGACAAGACGGTTACGCGTGCATCCGACAAGTCGGAAAAAATCACCCACACTTGACGAACACCAGCCGGCAACTGTTGCTTGTCCGGGTTGCTTGATCCGCGCGTCTCTGCATCCGCATCCGCCATGGAATGCCACAGCGGCCAAGGTTTTCGTCTGCTGGCGTTACCTCCCGACGGCAGCGAGAAGTTGTTGTTGTTGTTGAGATTCTGGGAGGAACGCGAGTCGGAGCCCCTGACAAGATCAGGGGACTCGGTGTCGAAAATGATAGTTTGATTATCTTAAACCATGGCATTGCTCCTCATTGCTTGGTACACCCACCTCCGAGAAGGGAAGCACAGCTTCGTGATCTCGAGGTGAAGCTTTCGGCTGATAACCAGCGTTGTGGCTTGACAACATGAATTCGGGCATTACCTTGATCCGATTGATAGGCTCTTGATCTGAATGTGTTGGTAAGTCACCTTGTAGTAATGGTCCCAAGTTAAGTCTCGGAGTGGATGTCCTTGAAACCATGGCGTGTTCTTAGGAGTATCCAGTAAGCAAGTGTATGTACTATAATGTTGTACATATTATGATACGCGGGAGCGCCCGACCCCGGCGACGGGAGGGCGCGCGCGCTGTTTTACTCCAAAACAAATTGCTGCAGTGCTTAAAGCAGTGAATGTCATGTCATGATCAACTGGCGCAGCCAAGCCTCAGTTGGAGGGTAATGGCGGCACAGCAAGAGAACACACGAGGGGAGCGCAGCTAATGACTGAACGGAAAACGAAAGATGGACAGTGTAGTGTGCACAGCGGTACTCTGGCTGCGATCTAAGCCGAGCACCCGCCCGTCGACGAGCGAGGAGACGCGGCGAAGAAGGCCAAGCCGCGGGAGAAGTAGACGCACGCCTCCCTGGCCCTGGCGCATCCCTAGCCCTGACACCCCGGGCCGCCTCCCCTCAACTCGCTAAAAAAACAACGGGAAGTGCGAAAAGTCCAAGATTCTGACCATCCTGCTCACCTTCCTCCTCATCCCCCCTCTCCCAGCGTGTTGCATCTCCTCCTCCTCCTCCTCCTCCTCCTCCTCCTCCTCCTCCTTCTCCTCCTCCTCCTCCTCCTCTGCCTCCTCCTCCTGTTCCTCCTCCTCCTCCTCCTCATCCTTCTCCTCCTCTTCCTCCTCCTCCTCTTCCTTCTTCTCGTCCTCCTCCTCCTCCTCCTCCTCCTCCTCCTCCTCCTCCTCCTCCTTCCTCCTCCTCCTCCTCTTCCTCCTCATTCTCCTCATCCTCCTTCTCTTCGGCCTCCTTACTCCTTCCGCTCTTCCTCCTCCAGCAGTCACTTTGATTCGCGGCGCTGAAGTCCCAGAGATCAAATTCTGGCACGGTCTAGGATTATCAAGCAATTTCGGAAATTCAAGGGTGCCCTAAAACAATCAAACGTATGCAATTACAAATGATGTGTTCATTATATGTGTCTGGTCCTGGCGAGGCATTTCCCCTTTGGGGAATCTGGGAAATTATATATATATATATGTATATATATATATATGTGTGTTCTTTGTTTGAATGTTCTGGCCGGTTGTGTTTCAATGGACCACTTCCTGCAATTAAACCAAACTATTGCATGAACCTGTGAAGAGAAAGTTGGCAATAGGGTTGATAACAACATCGTTGATGCGACTTGCGTTTACACTGGTCCTCCTCATCCTCCTCCCTCCCTCCCCCTCCTCCTCCTCCTCCTCCTCCTCCTCCTCCTCCGCCTCATGTTCCTCCACCTCCTTCTCCTCCTCCTTCCTCCCTCCCTCGCTCCCTCGCTCCCGTCTCATTCGCCCCCCGCCCTCCTGCTTCGATCGCGGGGCTCCGTCAAGGACTCGGGGATAGCCGATGCACCCCCGTCGGTTGGAGGGACAGTCAGTGCCACCAGTTGCGCAAGGTACAAATACACGGGCGACCATCCCCAGGACTGGTGGAGGCGGACTCCCTTTTTCAAAGGCTTGGGGTGTACGCATCCCCAGGGGCGGGGGAGTAGGCTGTGGTTGGACTGGGCCCCTCATCTCCTCATTCCCCTCTCCTCCTCCTCATCCTCCGCCTCCTCCTCCTCTTCCTGGTCATCACCACCAGCGTCATCATCATCATCATCATCATCATCATCATCAGCATCATCATCATCAGCAGCAGCAGCAGCATCATCATCATCAGCAGCATCAGCATCAGCAACAGCATCATCAGCATCATCAGCATCATCAGCATCATCAGCATCAGCATCAGCATCAGCATCATCATCAGCATCATCAGCATCACCATTATCATCACGATCGTCCTCATCCTCATCCTCATCCTCATCCTCATCCTTCTCCTCATCATCAACATCATCAGCACCACCATCATCACCAACACCATCGTCCTCATCCTCCTCTTCTCGTTGCCTCACTTCCCCAGGGGATCCCAGTCCTGCTACGGTCCTCCCCCGTTGGGGTCGCAGACTGGTGGCTGTCCGGCGCCGCGGTAGCCCCGAGGACGATCGTCTGTCGGTCTTGTGGATGGCCTATGGTGCCCCGTTCCACGTGCTCTTCGCGCGTGGCCTCTGGCAATTAGGTTACCCCGTCGCTGCACGTCGGTCCCCTTTTCTGTCAGAGGACGATGTCGATTCTCATTCTCACTGATGGAATGTGGCACCCCCTTGCGGTTGTCCCCTTCCTGGCGCGCGGAGCAAAAGAGGGGCGGCGCCCGAGGTGCCGCCAGGGGGGGGATCTGGCGCCAACTCCAGAAATCCGCGCGGGTCTTCGCCAATTTATGCATACGTATGTCAAGTTTGACTAAGTCGGCGGCGAGCGAGGGGGGGAAGTGAGAAGGAGAAGGCCTTCTCAGAAGGCTCGGAAGTCTCCTGGCCTTCTGAAAAATTGTCTAAGCCTTACCCGAAGACGGAGAAAACCTCTCAAAGGCGCGAGGGCTTATGAGAAGTCCCGCCGCCTTCTGAGAAGGCATTCTCATTCTCACTTCCCCCCTCGCTCGCCGCCAGTTCTAGCTTTGACGTTGCACGGACGATGGTCGCAGCGTCTATCAGAACAACTGAAAATACTCAAGCGAAGCAGCCCAGTAAATCTTCGTCATCAATCTTCAGTCAACGTTCGGCATTCGTGGTTGTCGTCATCGACGTCCTCGACATGGCCGTAATCGTCGTCGTCAAAGCCCACCATCGTCGACGACCACCCGTGGTCGTCGTCATCGCCCGTTCCCGACAGCAGCGGAAGCGCCGCGGATCAGCGGCTCTGGCCAGAGGCCACTACAACAAACGAGGAGGAGGAGGAGGAGGAGGAGGAGGAGGAGGAGGAGGAGGAGGAGGAGGAGGAGGAGGAGGAGAACGAAAAATAGCACTGGTGTGTGAAGAGAAGCCCGCAGGGGCGCAGCGGGAGCGCGGAGCAAGCCGAGGTACAGAGACGAACAGAGAAGAACCGAACAGTTATGCTGCCTCCTCCTCCTCGTCCTCCTCGTCGTCCTCTTCTTCCTCCTCGTTTTCCTCCTCCTCCTCCTCCTCGTCCTCCTCCCCCTCCTCCTCCTAATTCTCCTCCTCCTCCTCCTCATCCTCCTCCTCTCCTCCTGCTGTCCCTCCTCCGCTCGTCCTCTCCTCCTCCTCCTCCTCCTCCTCCTCCTCCTCCTCCTCCATTCTTTTTCCTTGTAAATAACTTCTCCCTGTCGCACCCCGAAGCCAGATTCTAGGGCGGGCCTGGCGTTTCCCCTGAGACTTCCTCACCGCTTATAACTTTGAAGGCTAAAAACTGACAACCGCTTCACAGATGGAGGGCGGGTGGTTTTTCCTTTGTGGCGTTCGCTCTAGCGCCGCGCACATTCGTTCCAAAACTTTGCAAGAGCTTCACGGATTGAGGATACCCCGTTTTCAAAATGTGGTTCTCGCCTTAGCGCCGCACATATTCGTTTTACAAGTTTGCAAGAGCTTCACGGATTGAGGATCACCCGTTTTTTTAATGTAGCTCTCGCCTTAGCGCCGCGCATATTCGGCCTACAAAATCGCAAGAACTTCAAGGATGCAGGACGGCTCCTTCTCGAAATGTGGCTCTCGCCCTAGCGCCACGCACATTCGTTCACACAAAATGTGTTAGCATTTCACGGATTCCCACGATCAACGTACCAGAAATTGTGTTTGGGGGGATTCAGGATTTTGCGGAGGCAACAGTCACACTGATTCGCGGTGTTGAAATCCCAAGAGTGTCGTTCTGGCACGATACAGGATCGTCAAGACGCAGCAGTCAGGTTGATCCGTGGCGTTGGAATCCCGAGAACAATGTTTTGGCATGCTTTCGGGTCTTCAAGCGGTGGTCTTCCAACGGGGCAGATCCCTCAATGGAAATGAACCGTTGTAGAGGCCTATGAAAGAGGGAGCATGGAGGGAGGGTGTATTCCAACATCGTTGATCGCTTTTGGGTTTACACTGGTCCTCCTCCTCCTCCTCCGCCTCCACCTCCGCCTCCGCCTCCGCCTCCGCCTCCGCCTCCGCCTCCTCCTCCTCCTCCTCCTCCTCCTCCTCCTCCTCCTCCATGCCCCCCTGTAACCCTACCAGTAGAGCGGCGCCGGCGCACAGCGCCGTCCCAGCAGAGCCACGGCCACGGCAGGCACTAGCCATCGCGACCAGCCTGCGAAGAGGCGGAGGGAGGCGGGAGGAGGGAGGTGGGAGGCCCATACTTCCCCTCGCTGTGCAAAAACACACCCCTGGTGGTTTTGCCCATGTGCGGTCTGCGGGTGCCCTCGCCGTGTCCCGGGACTGTCACAGACCAGGTCGGACGGGAGGAGGCGCGAGGAGGCGCAGAGGAGGCGCGGACAATATATACACACGCACCAAACACTGCATACTTGAGGTGATCGGCAAGGCGGCAGTGCCACGGACGCGGCAATTACGCCTGGTCCGAAAAATAACTCATCTGCTGCACGAAGCCCTAGATCCGCGCAACCAACAATAGCTAACCTACTCATGCTTTCACAGTACGCCACTGTGCGGGGCAAACTCCGTCCCACAAGAATGCGCCGCCGACCTGGCATAAGCCAGGGGATGCGGAAACCAACGGGCTGGCATCCCCCAAACCTGCTCCTCAGAAGTCGGGGCGAGCAAGGGCGAGGCGAGGAAGAGGACAAGGAGGAGGAGGAGCGACCTGCAGCAGGGACCAGCCTCAAAACGAGGATAGGCTGGTACGCCCAAAATTGACCTGCTGTCTGCCGCAATGTTGCTTTCAAAGCTCGATGGCGCCAGCGGCCCATCCAAAAGACCAGCCTACAAGAAGCGAAAACTGGTCATCCCCAAGCACTCGGAAATCCCCCGCGAGCGCGGCTCCAGCCGGAGCGAATCGAGCGATCAATCACGACGACGGAGAGAAGAGAAACGGCAGCGGCGGCAGCGGCGAGAAAAGCGGAAAAGGGAAACTGAAGAGACGCACAAGTAGCACAGGCACTCTAACACGGCCGTCTCGATATCTATATATATATATATATGTGTGTATCCGTATCAATTATATATTTATGTATCTCCTTCTACGCACACAGCGGCTACAGGCAAGGGTGACCCTGAGCGGCAAGAGAACCCTCTGGCGCGCGGCTTACCGATCGCAGCATACGGTGCGACAACAACGGCCATTGCGTGCTCGCGCATAGCCCTCTGGCGCCCCCCAGAAAAAACAGCCACGCACCCAGAGGTCACTCCGGCGAAGCCGCCCTTGCGTGTAGCCGATCGTATACAGTAGGAGCTCGACCACAAGAAACCCAGGACGTCCATTGTTTTTTGGTGGGAACGTCATGTTTTGCATGGCAAAACCATCAAAACCCAAGAAGCCCAGGGCACCCTGGAGGCAAGCAGGGTGTTTCCCTCAAAAACATGAAACCATCTGGGCAGGTTGGGGCTATCGGGCCCGCACCGGCGATCAATGGGCGATTGGGGGTCGATGCATCCCCGCTTATACCAATCCTCCCCTATCGTTGCCCCTGCCTTGAGCGATCGGCTGTTAGCAAAATGTCAGATCCTTATACGCGCGCGCGGTGATCAATGCCCAACGTGAGCTGGCGGCGTTCGCAGAAAGGCGAAGGCGGGTCGACGCGCGGGTCCCAAGGGCCCCGAGGTTGACCGAAAACCGCGAGATCCACTGAAACAACGACCACAGCATCCCCGATCTGGCTGCAATTGGCTGGCATCTCGGCCCATGTCCACGTACACAAACACCGCTACGGCTCGTCAAAGGCGGCAGCCTTCTCATTGTTTTTCTCCTCATCTTCCCCCCCTCCTCCTCCCCCTCCTCCTCCTCCTCCTCCTCCTCCTCATCATCATCATCACCACCACCACCATCATCATCATCATCAACACCACCACCACCATTATCATCATCATCATCATCATCACCATCATCAGCATCATCAGCAGCATCATCAGCATTATCATACCGCACTCCTGGTGTTTTTCCTGCTGTCTCCTCCTCCTCCTCCTCCTCCTCCTCCTCCTCCTCCTCCTCCTCCTCCTCCCCCATCTCCTCTTACCCTGTTTATTCCTCCTCCTCCTCCTCCTACCCTTCCTTTCCTCTTCTTCTTATTCCTGCTCCTTCCTGATAATCCTGCGGTGCTTCCTCCTCGTGTTCCATTGCCTCTCCTCTCCCTGGCTGGTCCTTCATACCTATACCTTTATATAGAATCATTAATTACCGCGCGCTGCCTTCGAAACCTAAAATCTACCACCGCTGGGACGCGCAGGAGCAAGCTTACAGCCTGCTGAACCGACTGCGGTGGTCGCGAAATGCTGAGATGCATGACACGTGTCGCAGTCATCGCTGTCGCAGTCTTCCCTGTCACACTCATCATGACCAGAAAGATCATCAACATCCTTGTAATCGCCATCATCATCGACGTGCCGTACTTGCGCTTGGATCGTCAAATCGTTCGTTCAACACTGCTAATTACATGCATCTCTTGTCCACTGCTCAATGACATATTTGACAAGCCCCTGCCACGAATGTAGACCATCGCGAACTCCGAATACGATGACGCGCACACAACATGCCAAGGGCCGTGACGAGAAGCAGCCACAGTGACAAGCTGAGATCCAAGAGGAAATGGCGGACCCAAAAAAACAACAGACCACCAGCTTGAAGCATAAGTTGATGCGTGGGATTTGTTGAATGCGTGGGATTTGTGGAATGTTAATTTGTTGATGCGTTGAATCTGTTGAAGACAGGGCACCAGCTTAAAAACAAAACGCGCCCGAATCTGGCCTACAAACATCAAAAATGCAGGTAAACCGGCCGCCTCGATTTGTCGCGGCGCTGGAGCTTCCGAGTTGTTTTGGACGCTGGGCGAGGGCTGGCAAACCCGTGGCTGCCAAAAACGCCTTCCCGGAAGAAAAAAAACAAACTCCTGGAATCAAGCTCACCGCGGTTCGAAGACAACATCAAGCGAGTCTGTGTTGACCAAGATTTGGGTGTGTGGAAAGCGACTGCAGCTAGGGAAGCTTGGCAGCAACACTGGGACGAGTTCGTGAACTGGGCGGCGGAGGCCAAGTTCGACAAGTGAGACCTCAATGAAGGTCCTGCCCCGCGCGGGCCACCCCTGACAGGACTTTATTCTTTATCCTTTCCGGAAGAAGAACAAAAAAAAAAAAAATCCCGGAGCTCTGTTTTGGCAGCCATGTGTTTTTTGTGTCTTTTTTGTTCCCACAGACGTGTGTTTTTGTGTGTTTTGTTTTTTTGTTCCCACAGTGTGTTTTGTGTGTTTGTTTTGTTTTTGTTGGTGCTTTTTGTGTTTTTTTGAGGGGGGGCTTACCAGCCTTCGCCCAGCTTCCGGGTTGTTAATCTCTCGTCCCCGGCGGCCGTTCGGCACGACTCCGGCGCCCCTGCACGCCTTCGGCTAGGCCGAGCTGCTGGGAGGCATCCCGAGGCTGGAAGCCCTCCACGAGTCTACGACAACAACATCAAGGAAACCTCCAACCTCGAGCGAACAGCGAGTCGTCGTCGTCGTCGGCGGTCTTCTGACGGCATTCGGCGGGCGTCGGCGGCTCCCGGCGGCCTTCGGAGCAGAAGCTGGAAGGGTGCGTTTGACAAGAAGGTCCACGATCGAACGATCGAACACCTAAGAGGACGGAGCACGGAGGCCTCGCCTCCCTCAAAGACCTCCGACGTCTTGAAATGGGACGCACAGGAACATACTGATACTATATGTCCTCCTTGGATGTGGCCAGAAAGCGCCCGCCACGACGCATGTACTATGAGATTTCTCGGTGCGCGCGTCGCCCCTGTGGGGGGGGCGACGCACATTCAGTACAAATATGTTGGGGTGACGCCGAACCTAAGAGGCTGGAGCACAGAAGGCTTCGCCTCCCTCAGGGACCTCCGACGTCTTGGAAGCATGACGGAGATCGGTCGTCACCTGCAGCCTCCAGGGGCCGCGGCCGAGCCCAGGACAATCACAAGATGGCCCAAGAACAAAAAAACAGCACAACACCCGAGCTACAGCAAAAAACAGTGAAAGGATCGAGAGACCAAGGCCCCCCGTGGTAAGGAAACACGACGTCGGAGGTCAACACCCCCCACTATCGCGGAAAAATCGCGACGGACAGATGTCCCACGCTCTCGGTGTCCGAGACCTCGCCTCGGACCCCAGGACCGTCTGAACTGGAAAGCCGTTCCTTGCACGGGACGGGCTCGAGAACGAAAAAAGGGCGCGGCAACGGGATGCGGCACCAGGGCCACGCACGGCCAGGGACGGTCGGGGAAGCGGCGGCAACGGAGAGAGGGCCAGGGACTGGCAGGGGCACCCGGGGACAAGGCCGAACAAAACCAGCGCGCGGCCAGGGAAGGCACCGCCAGGACCAGGGACAGCAGAGAGCAGAGCCAAACAGCCCCTCCTCCTCCTCCTCCTCCTCCTCCTCCTCCTCCTCCTCCTCCTCCCCCTCCTCCTCCTCCTCTTCCTCCTCCTCCTCCTCCTCCTTCTCCTCCTCCTCCTCCTCTTCCTCCTCCTCCTCCTCCTCCTCATTTGTGTCGGCGGTGTCGAAACGGGCGCGCCGACCACGCGCGCGCCCCAACCTGGGGCCGCATCCCAGGCCACCCTGCGGGGCACGAGCTGTGCGAGTGGCGCTGACCGCCGACCGCAAGCCAGGGTTGCTTACCACTGGAGCCATCGTCGGAGACCTAAGGCCTCCCGCCGCAGCACGCAGGGCGGCGAGATCAATACAGATCCACTGCCCCAGGCCTGGCCCATCCTGGGTCCAGGAGGGGTGTATGCGCCCGCCTGCCTTTGCCAAGGAAGCATATACACCGCGCCCGGGCCCAGCATGGGCCAGGCCTGGCGCAATGGATCGTATAGACCTCGTCGCGACACGGGCAGCAGCAGAAGCACCAGCAACGACGGCGGCGGGCATCAGCGACAACACCGCGACCAGGGCAAATCGAAAGCGGGCGCTGCGCAAAGAGATTGAACGAGGCCCCGACTCAAGGAAGATCGGGAGCACACGCAATCAATCCGACCCAAATTGAAAGGAACAAGAAAACGAACAAGCAAGGAAGCATAGCAAACAAACGAGAAAGCGGGCAGGCAAGCAAGCAAGGAAACGAGTAAGAACGAGCAAGCAGGTCAAGAAAAAACGGGCAAACAGTAAAGAAAAGGTACAAGCAAACGAGCAAGCACGCAAAATAATGAGGCGAACACGCTAGCAAGACCAACCCGCCCGCACAAGCCATACGCGCACCACCCAGGTGCAACCAGCATGCGCAACCGGCACGTTCAGCCAGCGTCCTCGTCGCCGCTCGTTTTCTTCGCCCGCCTCGGTTTGGGCCTCGTGTTTTATGTTATGTGTATGTTCGTGTCTACGTTGTTGTATACTGTAATATAAACGCATAGTTACACTATATCTGTATACGCACGCACAATCATGTCATCATAATCATACCTACGTGTGCGTGTATGTGTATGTGTATGTGTATGTGTATGTGTATGTGTATGTGTATGTGTATGTGTATGTGTATGTGTATGTGTATGTGTATGTGTATGTGTATGTGTATGTGCGTGTGCGTATGTGTCGATTTTCCATTTGTATACGCCAATAAATACCCCCAAAAGGCCGTATCCCACAACATTGATTTCCATGTGGCTTCTGTGCGAGTTGGGGGCATTCGGTTCCCCAATCTCCCGAGCGGCCGGAAACCGCCCAAGAGGCCCCGAACATCGTCGCTAAGAATGCAGCAAGACGGCCCAACAAGGCCCAAAAATGACCCCAAGAAGCCCCATAGCGTCCCAAGGGACAGCGGTCCGTAGCAAGGTGAATCCGAAAAACCTCCAAAAGGCGCCAAGAGGCCTCCAGAAGCCCGAACGAAGCTTCTGTGAGGCTCCCGCGCAGTCCCTCCCAACGCACCCCCCGACAAAAAAAAGGGACGAGTCCGCAGGGAAGAGCGAGAGCAATGAAATGGAAGAGGAAAAACCCGAAAGATAAAGAGAACGATGGAAAAATGATACAAGAGGAAAACGCCGAGCACGAATGAACAAACAAATGTTACTACTTGTGCCGCATGTATTATACTTGGTTGTGCTTATATAGATTTCCTTTTCTCTTGTAATGTTGTGTCTCTCTCTCTCTCTCTCTGTCTCTTTCTCTCTCTCTCTCTCTCTCTCTCTCTCTCTTTCTGCCTCTCTCTCTCTCTCTCTCTCTCTCTCTCTTTCTCTACCTGTATATATATATATATATCTTTATAACTCTCTCCCTCTCTCTCACTCTCTATCTCTCCTTCTTTCTCTCCGTTTCTTTCTCTCTCTCTCTCTCTCTCTCTCTTTCCCTCTCTCTATATATAGGTGGTTTATCTCTCTCTCTTTCTATCCCTCTCCTTCTCTCTCTCTCTCTCTCTTTCTCTCTCTCTATCTTTCTGTCTCTCTCTCTCTCTCTCTTTCTCTCTCTCTCTCTCTCTCTCTTTCTCTTTCTATGTATATTTACACATATACATATACATACACATACACATATACATATACATATGCACACACACACACCCTGATGCATATACATATGTACTAATATATCTAAGTATCTCTCTAATTCTCTATCTTTGTTCTCTCTCTCTCTCTTTCTCTCTCTCTCTCTCTCTCTCTCTCTCTCTCTCTCTCTCTCTCTCTCTCTCTCTCTCTCTCTCTCTCTCTCTCTCTCTCTCTCTACATATATATATAGTTCTCTCTCTCTCTCTCTCTTTTTCTCTCTTATGTGTTTTCTCTCTCTCTCTCTCTCCCTCGCTCGTTATGCTTCTTGTTTTCTCTCTCTCTCTCTCTCTCACACTCTCTCTCTCTCTCTCTCTCTCTCTCCCTCTCTCTATACATATATATATGTATATACACACGTATATCGTTATTTCTCTGTCTCTTTCTCTACACAAACATACATACATATGTTATGTGTCTCTCTCACTGTCTCGCTCACACTCTCTCTCTCTCTCTCGTTCTCTCGTCTTCTCACTGCGTATGTATGTGTATCTAGATTTCCTTCTCTCTCTCTCTCTCTCTCTCTTTCCGTCTGTCCGTCTCTGTATATCTTGTTTTCTCTCTCTCTCTCTCTCTCTCTCTCTCTTTCTTTATTTGTGTTTCTGGGTTTCCGTTTTGAGTAGAGCAGTGCGTTGCCGATTTTCTTTGGGTTCTCCCCTATATGCCCCTCTCGCATGCTTGCTCCTGCCTGCACCTGCCTGGTGGGGCATGCAGCTGTGGCCCCCTCTCGCCTGCCTGCTGGGGGAGCCAACACAATGGACT